CCCCCCACAAGAAAAAAAAAATTGTGAATTTGAAGATATTGGACGCACTCTTTTTTAATGTAATTAATAGTTGATGAGTGAGTTTTGCTCTAATGGTAAACTTCTTCTACTACCAATGTAATGTGGTTACTATTCACTATTAGAAATTCGGTAATTACTGTCACACCTCCTTTTTACCACCCGAGGGGTATATAAGAGATTTTTTTCAATTTAAGTGGCATTATTCGAAATGGGATTATTTATTCAATTCAAAGTCGCCACTTGGGATAGTTTATTTGGTGTCCCAAGTCACCAGTTTATTTTAAAATCCCAAATCGAGAAAAATCGACTTTCCTTTTGAAGTCTGCGAACCAGAAATTCTAAGTAAGGAATTCTGTTAACCCGGGAGAAGGTGTTAGGCATTCCCGGGTTCCGTGGTTCTAGCACGGTCGCTTAAACTATTATAATTGTCTTATTATCTGATTTTAATACATGTTTTAGCCTATAGTATATTTTAACTTATTAACCGCTTTTAATTAATTTTAGGAAGATTCAACGTTATCTAAAACACGTCTTGAACCACGTCACATGAAATGCACCCGCGGTCCACGACACATTCTATCTAACGTTGTCAAGATTTGGATTTGGGTCACATGAAATGCACACCCGAGTTTAAGAAGGTAATATTATTAAAATGACGCGCCTGAAGCAACTACGCGTTGTTAACTTTGGGAGGGCCATGGAAATTTGCTAGATGGCACGCCTCGAATTCTAAGGATTTTAAAAGAAATAATTAAGTGAGGGCCACGCATTTGAGATTTTATTTGGCGCGGCGCACCTCAATTCCATTTTAAAGGGTATTCAAACTAAGATTCAGAGGGCCATAATTATTTGTGTTATCTAACATGGCGCGCCTCTCTTAACTTAAGAAGTTTGATTATTTGAACAATTAAGGAGTCAGAATTATACTACTGCCTGAATTAATTTAAGAAAGACGAAGAGCTGAAGGTTCAAAGGGGGGCTTGGGCTAGGCGTGAGGCCCAACAGCCTGTGAAGTGCAAAGCTGTCCAGTACCGGTAATTCTTAAAGCCAAATTGCACTGGCTCAAATGAGAGCCCAAGTTGGGGAGCAAGCCACTTCAGTAGATCGTAGGATCCCATTTCGAATCCCACCATTTAACAAAACTACACGGCCTTAAACTTTTCTGAGAAAAATGAGTGCAAGCATTAAAACAAACTCATGAACCTTCAAATTTGTTTTTAAACTCAACTTCTGCTCACAATCCTTTAAACACTTAAAAACTCATGTGTGAATATAGGCAACACCAAACTAACGTGTTACTGAAATCAATAAACCAAAATCTAGATATGTGCATAAGTGAACTTAAACATGTGAGGTATAAAAACCAAGCTCGATCCAAACTTAAAAGCCCTGATAATGCCCAGGCCCAAAATCAGAGAACCATACTCGAATTTGAGTCTATACCAGCAGTAAACCTGATGCACTTTAACATGATAAATTTTCCCCAATCCCCTTTCACATACATGCTCAATTTCAACTATAGCAGCTTTGTAATTAACAACATACTCCTGTAATTTGAATTCATAAACATATCAGGGATCTAAAACCAATTGACTCCTCTATCAGTAACACAACCTAGAGAATCGAGTAAATGGAAATCAGCAAATCTAACAATAACTCCATTACAATTCCAACATAGAACTCAGAATCCTTAAACATAACTTCACATTGAGCATGTTGAGCCAGAGAAATTAACATAACCAGCTGAGAAAGAAACTAAAGAAAAGAACATCTAACAAAAAGAGAACATAATCTTTATATATCTTCATCAAAACACTTCATGAGCTATTTTTTACAAGCCTAAAATCAGAGGTGTGTACCTGGAGATTGAAATAGGGAAAGAAAAATGAGGGATCAGCAGAGTAAAAGCAGAAATCAACACCAGCAGCAGCACAACGGGTTCAACACCAACAACCAATTTCAAATAGAAAATGAGGTGAAACAGTCCCAAAGCACTACCAAAGCAAATCTTCAACCCAAACTTTTGAAACCCAAAGCTCAGTCCCTTTTTAAACCCCACATGATTCAGAGAATTGCTTCAAAATTCAAAACCTCAAAATTCAAGGCAAAAGTTTAATGAAACTGTAGTTTTCTGATATTTTCTAGCCGTTTTTGAGTTTTTCTGAATTTTTCTCTCTTAAAATCTTCTCTAAGGTCTGCCTTGAAATGCAAGGAAGAGATGCCTTTATAGGCAAGGAAGTAGGGCAACAACCAAGTCTCAGTTTTTGCACCTTAGGCCCTTTTCAAATTGTGATTTTAGCTTAGGAGTCCTTATTCAATTTTTGATTTTGCTCAAATAGCCTCAGTTCACATATCAGAATTACAAAATAAACCCCTTCCCCAGCTTCCTAGAGGCTTCCCTTTCTTGTTACAAAAGATTCTCCATTTCAATTACCCAAATTACCCTTTTAGAACCCTGTTATTACCCCCTGAACCCAAAACGGGTTATGGGTCAAATTGACCCTGGGTTGAATCCATTAGGAACCCAGCCCAAACCTGAACTCAAAGGCGTGAAACTCAAGCCCAAGCACAATCAAAGCTAAATTATCTAAAAAAAACAGAAGCAAGAGCAATTTCAAAAATTCAATTAATGAACTAACCTTAATGAAATTGAAGCTAACCTAATAAACGGGCTATTTATACTAATTAAAGAAGAAGGGGCTTCCTAAAACTAACAAGCATGTAAAAGGATGACCCTAAGAACTGGGAAAGCAAAAGGGGAAGAAGCACATAACAATAAGGAATAGAAAAGAAGGAAAGAAAAAGTAAAGAGAAACTAACTAAAAGAACACAGAGAAATACCTAGAGTGGCCATGGACAGACTTGAAAAAAACTTGAAAGATCCTTTGATTTTTCGACCGGAATAGATCTTAATCTTGTGTTTTCATGTGAAAACACACGAATAAGGTCCAGTACGGTCTAAAATCCTCAGCAGGCCCGTTGAATTTGAGTTTGTGGAATTAAAGCTCAGTTCTCTGATTCGATATTTGAGGAGTTCCAAGGGTATGTAGAGGATGATGGATTTGGGATGAGGGGGACCTGGTGGTCCATTGGTGTTAGTTTGGGGTCGATTGGTGGTGGCGCCGCCACCGGAGAAAACAAGGGCGGCGCTAGGGTTTCAACTTTCGATTCAATATTCGAACAGTTCTAGCCGGATTTGAGGTGTAAGGAGTGGAGATTTGGGAAGAGGGGGTCGAGGAGAGGCAGTGGTGTAATTTTGGGCGTGGTTGGCCGCCGGCCGCCGCCGTGGGCGATTTTCGGCGGGCGGCGGACGGTGGTTTAGGGCGGAGCATGGTCGGAGTGTTTGGGGTTCTGAGGGGTGTTTGTGAGAGACGGTTTGGGGTGGGGGGGGTAGGTGGGTTTCCGACATTTATATATTAAAGTGGTCCTCAGTTCTCATCTGTTGGATGAGATGAAATGAATGGCTAGGATTGCGTCTTCAAAAACGGGGTCGTTTTGGATAAGTGGGGGTTCTGGACTGGTTCAGGGGTTTTGGGCCGGGTTTTTGGGTGCTTTGAGACCGGATTTTGTGGGTTTTTGGCCCAAAATTGGGTCTTTATAAAGAAAATCTTTTTCACTTCTTTTCTTTTTTTTTGTTTTCATTTTCATATTTTTTGTTAATTACAAATTAAAATAAAAACCCGATTTAATTCTAAAATTAAATTAATAAACTAATTGCTTCTCAAAAATTAATTATGTCCTAAATTAAAAGAAAACTATAAAAAATTCGAAAATTAAAAAGTTAAAATGCAAAATGAGCTATTTTTGCTCTTTTCTTTCATTTTTGTAACATTAATTAAATAATTAGCCTAAAAATATAAAATAGGACCCTATATGCAAATGCAACATATTTTTTGTATTTTTTTTATGAATTAAATAAATTAAACATGCACACAAAAATGCAAACAAACACGAAAAATATGCAATAATTCAAATAATTAAAAGAAAAATCCTAATTTTGGGAGTTCTGTAGGAGTAATTCATGCGAGGAAAAAATCACGTGCTCACAATTAACGACCAAAATTTTCCGACCAGCATTGGTCGGTCAAAAAAAGCGACCAAAGTTGGACGAAAACTAGGAGAAAAATATTTTACATTTATTATAAAAAAAATACCGACCAAAGTTGGCCGCTGGGTTGATTTGGAGATGATGATAGAGGAAGGGAATTAGGGTTCCCTTAACAAAGGGGGTCTGTTTTTCGTCTCCTTTGAGAGGAGAATGGAGTGCCATGTAAAATTAGGTCTCCATCTGATTAGGTCTTTTAGGAAAAGGGTTTTAAATAGAGGGGATTTGGGCCGGATCGCTAGGCTGTTTGGAGAGAGAATGGGGTGGATTTTGAGGGAATTGGGCCATGAAAATTCGCCCAGTCCGAATTTAGACAAAAAAAATAACCTTTTCCCCCCTTTTATTTCTTTGTTTTCCTTTTCCTTTGTTTTTAAATTCTTGAATAAATAAATTAAAATCTAACTTTAATCTCATTAGCAAATTCTATTTATCTAATAATAAATCCATGAAATATTTAGTTTGATTTTCTATGTATTAATCCTAACACTTAAAGAGTAACTAATTCCTAAAAATGCAAATTAAACATACAATGGCATGAAACGAAAATGTGACAATTTTTATAATTTTTCTTATGATTTTAAAATATTAAACATGCATGAAATGCAACTAAATAAAGAAAAACTTCTATAATCCATTAAAATTATTCGTCTATTTTTAGGAGTTATTTCCATGCAGGACAAAAATAAGGTGCTCACAATTAAAACAACTTTTAATAACATGATGATCAAATCTTTTATAGCACATGAATTTTGTTCAAATTGTCTACATGCTTAGTCCTAAATTAATTTACATCACATGTAATAAATAATTTAAAATTATGTAACGAACAAGCACGTGACATAAAAAATGAAATT